ATGGTCCCGAAGAGGATACCCTAGGTAATGGTTCCAAATTTCCCATCTCGCATATTAGTAAAGGATCTCTATTTATTTTCGATAAGTCGTATGTTCTTGATAGTCTTCTACATATTCCCACTGCTACCCAAAATTTACTATCTATTAGTTCCTTTACTAATTCTAACCAAGTGTCCATTGAATTTTTTCCTAACTATTTTTTTACTAAGGACTTGGAAACGAGGGCAACTCTTCACAAAGGTTCGAATGATGGAGGTTTATATTCCCTTCCAATGTTGAAGTCAATTTCTTCACTAGCTTCATATGCAGCTCCACTTGGTGTTTGGCATGCGCATTTGGCTCAACGCATCCTATCCTACAATTCGTCGTGCTTTGCCATCTAATACTTTTATTTCATCTAGTTGTGGGTCTTCTAGTTTGTGTCCAACCTGTGCTGTTAGCAATAGTCATAAAATTCCATTTGTTGAGTCTAGTTTTCAAGCGACATGCCCTTTAGATTTAATTTGTTCGGATGTTTGGGGTCCATCACCTGTTATTTTGAATGATGGTTATAAATATTATGTTATTTTCTTTTATCACTATAGCAAATATACCTGGATCTATTTCTTAAATTCAAGTCTGATGTTCTTTCTGTTTTTATTCAATTTCAAAAAATTGTGGAAAAATACTTTAGTTGTCCAATTAAGAGGTTTTAAGCAGATTGAGGAGGAGAGTATCAGGCATTAACCTCATATTTAAGAGATAATGGTATTACACAACGTTCTTCTTGTCCTTATACCCAGAAACAAAATGGTTGTGTTGAACGTAAACATCGACATATTGTTGAGACGGGTTGTGCCTTATTAACGCATACAAGTGTTCCTTCCAAATTTTGGACAAATGTTTTTTATACTGTTGTTTATATCATAAATATATTACCGACTCCCCGTCTAAATAATCAGCCTCCCTATCGCACCCTGTTTAATTGTGACCCTAATTACTCTTTGTTGCGTGTGTTTGGTTGTCTTTGCTTTCCATGGCTTCGCCCTTATACGAAGGATAAATTATCTCCTCGTTCTAAGAGGTGTGTGTTTTTGGGGTATAGAAAAATTCATAAAGGTTATAAGTGTTTTGATCCTACTTCTTCTAAATTTTTTGTCTCATGCATGTTGTTTTTTACGAAACAATTTTTCCCTTTGCTACTCAGGATAACGCTATGGTGCCTACTACATCAACCAATGATGCCCCACTTACTGTCCAGATACCTTCTCCACTTCCACAACCAACTGTGCCTATTTCTTCCTTATTGCACTCGTCTGGTCCATCTCCTGCTACAGTCAGTACAACCTTATTGGATAATTCATCCTACACTTTTACATCGCAATGCTCTACGCAACCTCAGGCCCCTCTACAATCACATGCTATGCCTACAACTACACCTTCTCTATCATTGGAGATTCCGTCAAATACATTGCCTAATGAAGGTGGGAATCAAATGGTTGATTTTGAACAATTTGGTCCTTTAAGTGACGTGCATCGTCCTAACAAATTGTCGTGCTCTTCATCTAAGTCTCATCCGATGACTACTCGATCACAAACAAGTTCATTAAAATCGAAGTGTCCCACCTCTTACTTAGCTATGTCAACTGATGTTGTTGAGCCTTCTTATTACTCTCAAGCTACGAAGTACGCACATTGGCGTAGGGCGATGCAAGAAGAATACAATGCTCTCTTAAAAAATGGGACTTGGCAGTTAATACCACCTTCTCCGTCTCAAAATATTATTGGTAGTAAATGGGTTTTTAAAACAAAGGTTAAGCCTAAGGAGTCCATTGATCGTTAAGAAGCTCGACTCGTTGCTAAAGGGTATCATCAAAGACCGGGTCTGGACTATGTTAATACTTTTAGTCCAGTCGTGAAACCTGCCACTATTCGCCTTCTTCTTTCCTTGGCAGTCTCGAATAACTAGCATATTACTCATTTGGATATCTCTAATGTTTTTCTTCACGGTACCCTTGATGAAGTGGTCTACATGTCTCAAACTCCTGGATTTGTTGATCCAGATCGTCCTGAGCATGTTTGCTTGCTCAAGCGTTTTTTATGGGCTCAAACAAGCTCGCGAATGTGGAATAAATGTTTAACAGACACCTTGATCTCTTATGGCTTTACGGGCTCAAAAACAGATTGTTCATTATTTCATTTCTCCTGTGATGGTGATAAAATATTTTATTTGGTGTATGTTGATGACCTTCTTGTTTTGGGATCTAGTTAGTCTCTTGTTGGCTCTGTTATTACTCGCCTAAAGTCACAGTTTGTTGTGCGAGACCTTGGTCGCCTCTCCTATTTTTTAGGGATTAAAGCATCATGGACACATACTAGTTTGCATCTTTCTCAACATCTTTATGCTACTGATTTGTTGCGGAAAGCACAGATGGATGGTTGCTATTTCAACACATGTTGCATCTTTCTCTAAATTCTCAAGTTTTGAAGGATCTCTTTTCCATGACGAAACCTTGTATCGCAGCACTGTAAGAGCCCTACAATATTTAACATTCACTCGCCCTGATATAGCATTTGCAGTGAATAAAGTTTCACAATTTATGCATAGTCTGAAAGAGTCCCACTGGGCTGCTGTAAAACACATTTTGCGATATATCCAGTCCACATCCTCCCATCGTTTATTCTTTGCTTACTAAGATACCAAACTTTTACATGGTTACAGTGATGCAGATTGGGGTGGTTCGCTGGATGATCGTAAGTCAACTACTAGTTTCTCTATCTTTTTTGGTTCTCATTTAATATCTTAGGCTTCCAAAAAGCAGCGAGCAGTTGCACGTTCTAGTACAGAGGCAGACTATCGTGCACTAGCCACTACTGCGTCTGAGCTAACTTGGCTGGAGTTTTTACTTCGTGAGATTATGTGCTTTGACACTACAACTCTGATACCAAGTTTGTCACGACCCGAGAGCACCCCCTAGTCGTAACACGACGTACTCGACCTCGAAGAGGTCTAATACAAGCCTTTAGCATATCATGAACATTAAAGCATAGGAAAATGCGGAAAATTTAAAACTTTTCTTTACAATCGAAGTCTTTATAAAATATAAGAAAGTCTATGACACTATGTCTCAAAACCATCTATACCATTAGAATAAAGACTCTTTAATACAATCTTAGGGACACGACCCTTACATAATTCTAAATGAAACTAATAAAAGAAACTACTAAGATATCTACTAAGTTAGATGTTGGTCCCCAAACTTGAGGACTCATCAACTAGCTTGGAGGATCACCTATTCCAAGCCCTTTGAACCAAAGCTACCATCTCCATGAACCAACCCCCTACATTGTAGAAAACATAGAAATATGGTTTAGCACAAAAATGTACTAAGTATGGTATCTATGCATAAAACATTTAAAACATGCTTAAATGGGACATTTTTGTTGAAACCATGCTATGCACTGATCTTAGGCATATGCCTAAGTTATCAATAATTGCCCATAAAGTGCTTGAATTGAAGAATGATCTTGAGTCTATTAGCTTGATTTTGTTATACTTATGATGATTGTGCACTTACACATATGATTAGTTATTTCAGGAACTCTCGAAGGAATTGAAGTTGGAACGAAGAAAGAAGGAGCAAAGACGTGCAAAAAAAAGGGCTAAGGCAAAAGGCACAGTGGCTGGCACACTGCTAGGCGCGCCGCGCCAAGGCCTGAATATCAAAAGAATTGTTGGGGCGTACTACTAGGTGCGACGTGCCAGCCCCAAAAGTTCAGAGGGTGTATCCTTGGCGCGCTGATAGGCATGCCGCGCTAGAGCTTGAAGTTCAGACGATTTGCAGCGCGCCGAGCCACATGGGAAAGTTCTGCGCGTGCTTCTTAGTGCGATAATGGCGCGACACGCCACCCTTTTTCTAACTTTTCCAACTTTTAAACATTAAATAGGATTCCTTATTTGTGTAGGTTTTGTTCCCAACTTTTCCGACTATTATAAATAGATCCTTAGGATTCCATTATTAGGGTTCGACTTTTATTGGGTGTGCAAGAGCAAGATTCCAAGTTTTTAATAGGTTTTCATCCTTTAACTCTTCTATTTACCAGAATTTGCATGAATTGTTGTAATTTCTTGTTTTCGAATAGCATGAGTGGCTAAACGCCCTTGTTCTGGGGTTGTAGCTACGAATTGAATGTTGATTATTAAAGGCTTTTTGAATTAATTGTTGGTTGTCAATACAAGTTACTTCTATATTCTTGTTTTAGTATTTTGTGCCTAATCACCTCGAGATAAATATATTGTCTAATCTTAAAATTGGGAGATGAGAGGTTAGATAGACCAAAGAGTATAGAGAGCTCGATCGACCCATTTGATTGAGGTGATTTGTGTTTAGGAGTGACGCCCGGACGAACAACTTGCTCGGTTACAAAACGGGATGAAATATAAATGCTCGCCAGTTAGTCTATTTATCCCCGCACGCCTTGCGTTGTGTGGGGCGACACGATGCGTGACACCTAGGCAAACGTGCCCTTGACCTATCGGGTGCAACTTGCGGTCAAAGACTCGATGGTTCACGGGATTCTGTAATTCACACCAAGTATCACATTTTGCTACGTTCTTCATCGATGCGAGAGTCGAGATATCCATTGTCGAGAGTCGTTTGTGTTTAAATAGCAGCACACGTCCCCCATACACTCCTCGAACGGGGTGCGTGGGGAAGGCAATCAATTTTAGTATTCCTTGGCGCTTTCCACGTCGGAGTTCGTTGGTCGCCCGACGAGCGTGCAGGCGCGCACGCCGGTGACGGAAGGGAGGTGCACGATGGGCGCGTGTCTCCTCCAAGTGTTTAAAATGTGTTCGCGGGTCGTTCTTCTGTGCATGTTTTGACAATGATCTTTCTGCATGTTTACATACAGAAACCTTGTTACGACTTCTCATTCCTCTAATAAGGTTCAATGGACTTCTCGCGACATCGCGTGCAGTGAATCACCCCCGTCGCCGCAATCCAAACATTTCATTGGATCATTCAATTTGTAGGAGTGACGGGCTGTGTGTACAAAGGACAAGAACGTAGTCAACGCGAGCTGATGACTCACGTTTACTAGGAATTCCTCATTGAAGACCAACAATGTCGAGCCTATGTCGCCTGGTGGATTGGCACAGGCCTCGGCCGACGCTTGGTATTAAAATGGACTTCACTTATGTATTAAAATGGTATTTCCAACTCCAAATCATTTTGTTTAATCAAATATTTTTCACAGACCTATTTAAGGAACAAAAATCCTTATGCAAAATTGGGGGAAATTTAAAAATTTTGGGATAAAAGTTGTTTATTAGAAAATTGATTATCTAGCATTAAAATTGACATTTATATATGCATTATCAAAGTATTTTGAACTCAAAAATCAATTTTCTTTTATCAGATTCATAGCAATAAAGAATTACAATTTTCTTCAAAATTGAATGGGTTAAAAGACGTTTATAAAAAAATTGGCTCGGTCAAACCGCTCTTTGGCAGTTTGGTCGCATAGATCTCAAAAAAATACCCAAATTCAAAAAAAAAATCGCCTAAAAAGGACATCCGAGGCCAAAGTTATGACTGTTTGAAGTTTCACCAATTTACAACTACTTTTTCAAGTTTCAATCTTTAATTTGGTGAAACTTCAAACGATCGTAACTTTTGCCTCGAATATCCGTTTGACGTAAACTTTTTTTATCATGGCTATTATTTCGAGATTTATTCGGTCAACTCCTTAATTTGTTTTGATTTTAATCTTATTATATTTTTATTTATATAGAATAATAGTCACACAAGGTATTTAGGTAATTTTTTTGTTCTAATATTATATATAGTGTCACTACAGAAAAAATAGTGATTAGCGACAAATCATATTCCGTTGCTATTTAACGGGAAAAAAATTTAAACTTATTTTCTTCCCAATGCAAAATATTATTAATAATTATAATTGCAAATTAATTATTGCATCAATAACCTAAAATGTTCTTTGATACATGTTTTAAACTGTCAACATTTTTGCAACACCTCTTAGTATTCTCTCTCATCAGAGCTACTTAGTGAATAAGTGTAACACCTCGGAATCTAGTAGTCTAAGCTAGGGCTAAGCGTAGAGGCAACAACCCAAGATTTGGGCTTGGGCAACCTTCACGATGATCCACACGAGGAGCCAGACCACTGTAAGTTGGGGGAAAAAGGGTCTTTTCCGGTTTTAATTAGATCAAAGTTATGTCGTTTTACCTAAGCCTAGGACCCCTATAGTCATTTTACCTCCAAAACTCACCCATTCAAATCATTATTTCCAAAACCCAAAAGAACTCTCAAAGTTCTTCCTCTCAAATATTTCTCTCTCTAGAACTTGAAGAAGAAGGGTTCAATCTAGGGTTTCAAGCAAGCCTCCATTTTCACATTGTAACTGTATATGTGACAAAAAAAAGTCGTATCGATATGTAAAATATCGACATTGTAAATTGTGTATAATTGTGTATATATACTATATAAGTAATTATCATTGTATGTATATTCATTTATATTATTTAAACATTAGAATAGTTCATCTTCTTCAACGACCGAAAGAAGAAAGATATTAGGGGAAAAAAGGGAAGGAGTGAATTGCACTTTACTTGCCATTGAAAAAAATATAGAATATATGAAAAACAATTTCCATAAGAAGTGATAATTGTCTCATTTAAAACAAGAGATTTTGACTCAATAAACATTTTGTCTAATTTTTCCAATTAAATAACTAAAGAATCATATCTAAACCAAAAGTCTTAGGGTAAATAATCATTATAATCATCTAATCTAGGAGATAAATACTAGGAAAAAGAAGATAGTGTGACTGTGAGTTTATAATCATAAAATAGAGATAGTTACGAGATAGAATAATCTTATGATTTAAAATTAAAGATATGCAGAATGTATCAAAGTGCTCTTTAATCTCATAATATTAAACATAAAAAAATTAGAATTAAAGAATAGTAAAAAAAGAGAGAGTAAAATAAAAAAAAATTAATGAAGAGGGTACATGGATAAATTCAGGGAAGTAATCATACTCATTTTTTATAAAAACATTAACTATTCGATCATAGTTTAGTGGTATGCGTTTTAAAGGCAATTATATATTTGCTTCGCGTCGTGTAAAATATGATTCCACCTTGTTCACTGCTCGATTAGAGTTTTATGGGTGGTTTTTCATATAAGGGAAGGATTTTATTTATATATTAAAATTCGTCAATAGATGTCCCAAAAAAATTGATCTAAACGAAACAGTTTCACAAGTATTTCTATCGATAACGTACGTTACAAAAGAAAATGCTTGAAAAACCACAAAGATTGTTACCATCTATATTTAGTTTCATAAGTTTTCTTTCCGTGTACTGCAATCAACATAAATATATGAAAAAACGTGTAGTAATGTTATGTAAAGAAATTTAATTTAGAGTTAACTAACAAACAATAAAATTGAAATTGATTTATAATAGATGGAAAAATTAGACAAAATATCGGTTACAGTTAAAATTCTTTATCCAAAATAACTCACCGATTATTTGTTACAAAAAAATGACCATTCAGCCATCTTAAATGGATCTGGAAAAAGGGAAAGAAAATGGGAATAGAGAAAGAAAAAAACTTAAGATTCTATGTTCGATAATTAAAACTTCTTTAAAGATCGATGTTAAAATTTGACTTACTAAGAATCGTATATTGTTTTACATGAGCAATATATAAAAAGACTTGAATCATTGAGAGGTGCTTATTTATGCAAATTTTAGACTATTTAGAGGAAATATGAGTTGGTTGAGATTGAAAAAAATAGTCTGCAATGTGTAAATATTGTATTAATAGAATGTATGTATGTATATATATCTTTGCAAGTTATGTGGCCCCATGATTATATTTAACAGTTTTTGGGGGTGAATTGTTAAGTTTAGGATAAAAGATTAAATTGAACACATTTTGTCATGAAGGACTATTTCAATCACCTAAAATATATTAAGGACCAAAATAAAATAACCTCAATACATCAATGACCATTTTGATCATTTTCTCTCCAAAATCCTACCCAATATCAAAACAACTTCAACTTGAAACCACACAAAATCCAAAATCACAAATTTCCTTTTTGTCATTTTCCTCACTTCAAAGTTAAGCATGGCTACTTTATATTTATCTTTTTAATCATGTTACACATTTTAATTTCTATATAATGTGTTACACATTTTTAATTCCTTATAGATGCTAAATATTACCTCAATAATAATATTATTCTATGCAAAAATTCCAATTTTCTTTAACTATTTTAACCTCCTTTTATCATACTTCTTCATCCTCAAATATTTATGAGGGAAAGTGACTTTTTTTAAAGAGTTAAATTTATGAATTAATTTCATACTTTAAAAAATTTAAATATTAGATAAAAGTTCAAGATTAAAATAAGAAGTGTATCCAACTACATTTTTATATATATATTTTTTCTTTTTAATTGTACTCAATTTTCAAAAAACATCTAATAAATAAAGTTAACTGAATAAATTACATCTTGACAAATTGAGATAAACTAAAAAACACTTATTTTGAAATGAAAATTACAAATATAAAGTTAATGAAGTATTAAAAAATAGGCTTTTAAAAAAATAATATATATATATATATATATATATATATATGCACCCTCGTGTGCAAGATAAATGACTCTTGGGACCTTTGACCAATTTTTTTAGCTTTTTTCGATATGGAGCTGCCGGAGATGGAATCAATGGCGACGGCGATCGGAGTATCGGTGCCGGTGCTCCGATTCCTTCTTTGTTTCGTTGCAACTATTCCGGTGAGCTTCTTCCACCGTTTTGTTCCTTCTGCCACCGGAAGACATCTCTACGCCGCCGTGATGGGTGGTGTTCTTTCATACTTGTCGTTCGGATTCAGTTCAAATCTTCACTTTTTTGTGCCTATGCTTTTGGGTTATGCTTCTATGGTTATTTATCGGCCTTATTGTGGGATCATCACTTTCTTCATTGCTTTTGGTTACCTTATTGGATGGTAACTTACTTTCTCTCTCTCTTAAATTGGGGTTTATTTGGAAATTTTGATTTGATTTCAGTTTCCTTTTTTAGTAGTTCAAAATTAAGCCATGGATAGAAAAAAAAGTATATATATTACTCACTGTGTCTCAATTTAAGTTTCTTAGTTTGACTAGACACTGAGATTTAGAAAGATGTGTGTAGTCCTTTAGATCTCTTGGTCTTAATTTTGCAATTGGAGAACTTACGAAATATAGGAAGGGACATTCTTTATAGGACAGTCCAAAAGGAAAGTAAGACACATAAATTGGGATGGATTGAGTATTAGATATTCGTTTGAGGATGTAGAATTAGGATTTTGAGTGGATTTTAGAAGCTAGCTACTGGGTTCTGATGAACTCATAGAGAGTCGTGTAGATCGGCTTCTGTTAGTTTGACATTAGAAATGTAGAAAAGCATTGTTCTTTATGTGTAGTTTTATGACATACTGTTGAGTAGTGGTATGAAACTGGTCTAGATAGAGTAGGAAGGATATAGAGGATTCATATAGCCAACTTCTAGTTTGTGATTGAGCACTGTTTTTTTTTTTTCGCTGTATTAAGCTCTTCCTGTTTGATTTGTT